TTTTTTTTTTTTTTTTTAAATCGAAAAATTGACTGGAGAGAGAGGGCACAGCGAGAGGGCAAGAGAGAGAGCGAGAGTGAGAAAGCAAGCTGCCAGGTAAGGGACTTGAACCACAGTTGGCCATGTGGGAGTCCAGCTCCCTTAACCACCATGCCACTTGCCGGCCCCAGCATTTGTATTTCTTATGTGAATTATCTGTTCATATTTGTCATCCATTTTTCTTTTAGCTTTTTTGGTTTAATGATTTAATAGGATGTCTTTATTCTGGAGTTATTTATTACACAGTTTATCCTTTTTTTTTTTTAGCTTTTTCTTATTGGGTACATGCACTTGCAAGGGGGTAGGGGAGAAAGTGAGGAAACACCTTTGGGGAGGGGATGACCACACCGCAAGCCCTTTCCTTCCATTCAGCTCTCAGGATTTTGGGCACCCACTTACACACACGTGCATCTGGTGTGATTTTCAAGCTGCTGGGTGAGTGTGGGACTCGAACTGCAGTCAGCCTTGTAGGATCCAGCACCTTAACCACCATGCCACCTGCTGACCCCTGTGGTTTTTCTGTCTTGGTCTACTACTTGCTTTTGGCTTTTTGCTCTTTGAACACACAATTTATTCTTTATGTGGTATGAGTCCAAATCTACATTAATTTCCTATTTTCCACAACAACCATCAATGGCCCGGTGGGAAAAATCAGTCCAAACTGATTTTCTTGACATTTTGGGGACCCATACAGATTCTTCTTGACTAGCACACTCCCCACAGCTTTCTCAGGGCCTCCATTGTTCTAAAAAAGCGGCAGCCACAGTCCTTTGACTGGATCCTGTAGTTCCCCAGTTCTTTCCCAAAATGCACACACTCCCCCCTACTGGTTTCTTGAAGGATTGCACCCTGTTTTTTACTGGTTTGCTGATTTGGAGAAACGCCATAGGATTGAGAAATTAGTGTCTTGAGAATCCATATGTAACCCCATAACCTTCTCCTTGGGGCTCAGAACTGACCAGAGCTTTTCAGACCTCACCACCCCAGCCTGTTGCCAGACAGTCTAGACTCGCATTGACTGATCAGAGAGGCATTTCTGAGAAACGGTGTGTAAATCTAGTATGATGGGTTATATTTTAATGCTTTAGGAGAAATAAAAATTTAAATAAATGTTATAAATTGTAATAGCTCATTTATTGGGCCCTGGCCATATGTCATTGACCATGTTAAGCACTTTACGTGAAGGCCTTCCATAACCCTCAGATTTCTCGATTTTATGGATAAGGTGGCTGAAGCTCAAAGGGTTTATAAGGCCTGGCCAAGATCACCCAGCAGGAAGCTTGGAAAAATAAACAGATTGAGTGAATAAACACACAAGACACCCAAGTGAAGTAAAAAGAAAAACAAAAAACTTTTTTTTTCATAGGGCACGTGTACTCACCAGAGACAGAGAAGGAAAGTGAGAAATCACCCCCTGGGAGGATGGCCATGCTTCATTCCCTTCTCCTCCATTCTCCTATTGGAATTTTAGGCATGGGTACGCACATGCCAAGTGTGTTTTTCAGGCTGCCAGGACCAGGACTCCAACCTGAGTCAGCCCTGTGGGATCCAGCACCACCTTAGCCACCAAGCCACCTCCTGACCCCAAAATTCTTTTCTTTCTTTTTTCTTTTTTTTTTTTTTTTTTTTAGTTTTGTTATAGGGTGCATATGCTTGACAGAAAGTAAGGGAGAGAAAGTGAGAAATTATCCTTCATGGGGGAATGGACATGCCACAATCCCTTCTCCTCCATTCTCTTCTTGGGATTTTGAGCATGCATGCACACACACCTAGCCTTTTATTTTATTTATTTATTTATTTTAAAACATTTATTTGTTGTGATTTTCAAGCCTCCAGGTCTGGGACTCGAACTTTGGTCATATATGTGGGAACCCAGAACTGCAACCACCATACCACCTACTGGCCCCTACCTGGCCTATTTTTCAAGCCACTGGGTCTGGGACTTACATTGCCTTGTCTGCCATATGGGATCTAGCTGCCTTAACCACCATGCCAGGGATTGACCCCAAATCCAAAAAAAAATTTTTTCTCAAGAGAGAGATTTTTGCTATAGGGCACGTGGACTTGACAGAGAGAGCGCAACGGAGAGATAGGAAGTGAGAAATCACCCCCTAGGGGGCATATCCATGCCACAATCTCTTCTCTTCCATTCTCCTCTTGGGATTTTGGGCAAGCAGGCACATGCGTCTGATGTGAGTTTTAAGCCACCAGGTCTGGGACTTGAACCACAGTTGGCCATGTGAGAGTCCAGGGATGTGCCTTTACACCATCTGCTGGTCCCCAAATCTAAATTCCTTTTTTAAAAATATATATTTGTTTGTTTTTAGAATTATTTAGTTTTTGAACAGAGAAAGTGAGAAAGAAAGCTGCTGGGATTCAAACTGTAATCTGCAATATGGGAGTCCAGCACCTTAACCACCATGCCACTTGCTGCCCCCCCAATCCAAATTTTTAAAAAATATAATTATTTATTTATTTAATTCCATATGTTATAATTATTATTTTTTAATTTGACTAGAGAGAGAGAGAGAGAGGGAAAACGAGAAAGAAAGCCGCCAGGTCTGGGACTTGAAGCGGTCAGCCACGTGGGAGTCTAGCACCCTGAACCACCACACCACCCACCGGCCCCCAAATCCAAATGATTTATGATGGTGTGCAAGACCTTACATGACCTGTCCCTTGCTCGCTTCCTGCCACTGTCCTCTCGCCCACTGCACTCTAGCCCTGCCTTGTCTGCTGTTCCATGAACACCTCGAGAACATTCCCTTCTCAAGCTATTTACACTTGCTGTCCCTTTTGCTGAGAATGCTTTTCCCTCCAGCATTTGCAAGAGGCACCTCTGCCCTCCCTCTCTCCCCATACCCTGTGTGATCGCTGTGGAGAAGCCCAGCCCTGTCGCCCCCACCCAAGGAAGACTCATTGCCCCTGCTGCGGGGGCCGTGGTCAGCTGCCAGCCTCTTCAAGGACTGCCTCAGCCATACAGTGGGCTTGCCCAGGATCACGACCTTCTCCAGTATCCCACACCCAGCGATTGATTGGAGTTGGCTGGAAAGGATGGCCATTCTGGCCCAACAGGGGGCAACTCACGTGGGCAGTTAGAGCTCCAGAGCTGGGGGGGGGGGGCAAGCTGAGGCTGATGGAGCCTTCCTCTCAGCTTGACTTCTCCCTTTGCCCAATCCTGCTTCCTACCCCTCCCTTGCACAGGGGTGATTCCACGAGGGATCTTTATAGACGGGAGCATGCTAAACCACGTCGCTGGGATCCCTTCTCCATTCTTCTCTCAGGATCTTGGGCACACGTGCACAATTCTCGTGCACGAGGTCTGGGACTCAAACTGTGGTCCAGACAGGTAACCATTACACCATCTGCTGATCCCAAGCCAACTTTTTAATAGACTTGCAGCTCAGGAGATACAGTGTTTCTGATTTACTTGGGAATAAGAACAGACCCAATGGTTTCAGATCTAGAACACTTGACAGCGGGTTTCGGCTCCGCTGACAACTTCAACCCTCCCACTCTGTCCTCCCTTTGCCTGGAAACAACTTTAACAGCTGGTCTCACCTGGGGAAGGAGAAGTTGCCGCCTGTCTTTGAACCAGCCACACTGCAGAAATTGTGACCTGCAGGCAGCAATGTAAATTTCAGATTAAGCAACTTTTCCTGAGTATTTTTTTAAATAATTATTTTATTTGACTTCATTTATTTATTTATTTACTTATTTTAATTTGACCAGAGAGGGACAGAAAAAGAGAGAGTGAGAGAGTGAGGAAGCAAGCCGCCAGGATTGGTACTCGAACCACGGCTGGCCATGTGGGAGTCCAGTGCCCTTAACCAACACACCACCTGTCAGCTCCTCCTGAGTATTTTTACACATTGTTCATCTTTTTCAAGAGCACTCACACTGCTCAGTAATTGCTCATGATGGCCATGGGCTGTGGGCCATTTTATCACCCTATTTTCTATACAGAGAAACGAGTGAGAGGAGTAGCTGCATTCATGCCAAACATGCTACTGAACACCTTCTAGGGGTCAGGCGCTGCGCTGGGTAGTGGAGGGTCTGAGCATAATCAGGCAAGCTCCGGGGCTAGCAGGAGAGGCCGGCAGGTGCGACTCTCCAGCAGTCTGTAAAGGGAGGTGTGGACCACAGGCTGCAATGGTTGAAAGTCGACTGATAGCCTCTGTATTAGAGGATAACCTGTGGGAAGAATGTTTTTTGAAAAAAAGAATTATTTAGGTACCAGCAGTTAGCGTAATGGCTATGTCGCTGGACTCCCATGTAGTCGACAGCAGTTCAAGTCCCGGATCTGGTGGCTTGAACTCACACCGGGCACATGTGTGTGCGTGTCCAAGATTCCGAGAGGAGAATGAAGAAGGGGTGGAGGTATGGCCATCCCCCCCGGGGGATGATTTTTTGCTCTCTCTATGTCTCTCTCTGTCTTTCTGGTGAGTGCACGCACCCTGTAGCAAAAATCTCTCCAAAGAAAAAATAATTATGTATTTATTTATTATTTGCTATAAAGCACATGAGTTCACCAGAAAGAGAGAGGGAAAGTGAAAAAGCAAGCTACCTGGCCCAAGACTCAAACTGTGGTCAGCCATGTGGGAGCCCAGCAAAGTTTTATTGTGTAGAAAATTTTTTTTCTTTTAAAGAATTATTTATTTATTTAATTTCATTTGTTATTGATATTTTAAAATTTGACCAGAGAGAGAGACAGAGAGAGAGAGAGAGAAAGGGAAAGGGAGAAAGCAAGCCACCAGGTCCAGGACTGGAACCACCCCAGTCAGCCATGGGGGAGTCCAGCCCCTTTAACCACCACGCCATGTGCTGGCCTTGGATTTTTTTTTTTTTTTTAAGAATTATGTTATTAGGGAGGGGCGCAAGTGGCATGGTGATTAAAATACACGGGACTCCCACATGGCTGACTGCGGTTTGAGTCCTGGGCCTGGCAGCTTGCTTTCTCACTTTCTCTCTCAGATTAAAATATATGAATAAAGTTGAGTAAAATCGTTTTCTTTTTTTAAAAAAGAATTATGTTATTGGGAACCAGCAGGTGACTTGGTGGTTGGGGGCACTGGACACTCCCACATGGGTGACCATGGTTTGAGTCCCAAACCTGGTAGATTGTTTTCTTTTACATGGGAGTTCAGTGACATAGCCATTATGCCAACTGTTGGTCCTGAATAATAATAATTTTAAAAAGTTGGCTTCAGGGGCCAGCAGGTGGTGTGGTCGTTAAGGTGCTGGGCTCCCACATGGCCCATTGTGGTTCAAATTCCGGGCCTGGTGGTTTGCTTTTTCACTTTCCCTCTCTCTCTCTCTGTCTCTCTTTGGTGAGTGCATGTGCCCTAGAGTAAATTTAAAAAAATAATAATAAATAAAATTAAATAAATAATTTTTAAAGGAATTCCTTTATTTAATATCTATCTATCTATCTATCTATCTATCTATCTATTTATTTCTTTATTTAAATTTGACCAGAGAGGGACAGAATGAGAAAGTGAAAGAGAGAGAGAGGAAAACTGAGAAGGCAAGCCACCAGGTCGTGGACTTGAACTGTAGTCAGTCATGTGGGAGTCTACTGCCCCTAACCACGCCACCTGGGGGTCCCATTGTATAGGAATGTTTTGAATGTGTTCCACTAAAAGTTCATTGTTGAAAACGTAATTGCCACTGCAACAGTATTAAGAAGTGGGTCTCACAGGGCTAGCAGATGGCATGATGGTTAAAGGTGCTGGACTCCCACATGGCTGACCGTGGTTCGAGTCCTGACCAGGTAGTTTGCTTTCTCACTTTCCCTTTCTCTGTCACTCTCTGGTCAAATTAAAATAAGATAAATAAATAAAGTTAAATTAAAAAATCCTTTTTTTAAAAGAATTATTTATTTAATCTTATGTATTCATTCACATATTTTAATTTGACCAGAGAGGACACAGAGAGAGAGAAAGTGAGAAAACAAACCACCAGGTCCGGGACTCGAACTGTGGTTGGCCACATGGGAGCGTCCAGAGCCTTAACCACCATACCACCTGCTGGCCCCCTAAATAAAATAATTCTTTAAAAAAGGAAATTATTGGGACCAGCAGTTAGCATAATGGCTATGTCGCTGGACTCCCATGTAGTCGACCGCAGTTCGAGTCCTGGACCCGGTGGCTTAAACTCACGCCGGGCGTGTGTGCGTGTGTGCCCAAGATCCCGAGAGGAGAATGGAGGAGAAGGATCCCGAGAGGAGAATGGAGGAGAAGGATCCCGAGAGGAGAATGGAGGAGAAGGATCCCGAGAGGAGAATGGAGGAGAAGGATCCCGAGAGGAGAATGGAGGAGAAGGATCCCGAGAGGAGAATGGAGGAGAAGGGATTGCGGCGTGGCCACCCCCCCGGAGGGTGATTTCCTGCTTCCTGTCTCTCTGCCTCTCTCTGTCTGGCGAGTGCACGCGCCCTATAGCAAAAACCTCTCAAAAAAAAAAACAAGAATAAAAGTAGTAACCAACATTCAATGTTTGGTTAAAAGACATAAT